TATGTGCACTTGGCACCAGGACACCCTAGGGCACAGTTCAATGATTGACTTTGTCATCGTTTCGTCGGATCTGCAGCCGTATGTCTTGGACACTCGGGTGGAGAGAGGGGGGGAGGGGGCCACTACCTGGTGGTGAGTTGGCTCCAGTGGTGGGGGAGGATGACGGTCAGACCTGGCAGGCCCAAACGTGTTGTGAGGGTCTGCTGGGAACGTCTGGCAGAGTCTCCTGTGAGACGGAGCTTTAACTCCCACCTCCACCAGAACTTTGAACACATTCCGGGGGAGGAGGAGGACATTGAGTCTGAGTGGGCCATGTTCCGTGCCTCCATTGTCGAGGCGACTTATCGGAGCTGTGGCCACAAGGTTGTCGGTGCCTGTCATGGCGGCAACAATTTTGGGTGACGTTTGGTGAGTTTTTGAATATGTTTAAGGCTCCAAAAAGCTGCGTGCTTTGTTGGAAAAATAAGAAATCTTGCGATTACAATAGGCCTTCACAGTGCTTCGCTGCTTGGGCCTAGTTAATAAATTCTGTCTTTTTGGAAGAAAAACATAAAAACAATGACATAGAACTATTTTAGCACTACTCCCTTTGAGTTAGCCTTAACTGAAGAGAAAGAGTGTTTAAAGGTGTGGTGCATTCACTTACCTAACAGAGAGAGAGAGCTCTCCTGGAGCTGATTCACTTTCCCTCACTAGAAACACTCCAGTATCCTGCCAGCACAGTCGTTGTTCAGCCTCCAGTCTTGATATTGCTCCTGCAAACCAGCTAAAGAAACAAACAGAAACTATTAACTTAACTGCAGATGATTCTTAGCTAAATCATGTTTAGTTTTAGTGAAAAGTGATGGCTGTGACACATCAAATCTAGAAAATCATCAGAAAAAATTAGTGTTTCTTATTAACACAATTTGGATAATAGATTATTTACAGATGAGGGTGCAGAGAGATGTAGTTCTTAGGTATGAATCCACGTTTCCCCTCAATCTCAGCTGTGAACCAGAAAGAGTCTTCCTCCATTTCTACCACCTACAGTGCAAATCCACAACCCTCCGTTACTCCATGTGAAGATGTAGAAAAAACATTCAAATATGCAGAGATATGCAGCATGTCTCCATTCTTACCTTGATGATGTCTCCTTTCTGGAAGCTGATCTCATCTGCCTCTGATGCTGTGAAAGAGAAGAGAGCCACAGCCTCCATGGTGCACAGTGAGCATCCACCACAGTTTTACTTCACAAGTGAGTAGAGTGGAGTGGAGTGCAGTGCAGTGTAGCGCAGCGCAGCGGAGAGATGGCAGGGTGAGATAATCAGCATGTTTGTGCTGACCTGCTGCAGCTCTGAAGTTAATGGGGAGCGATTCTGAAACATGGGTCACTGTGTTCGTCCATGTGATGGAGTTGTGGAGAGGCTGTGAGCATAAAGAGGTACTGACTGCTCTCTCAGTCTCCATCTGAGCAGTGTGCACCCTCCAAACGCTGGGCATTTAACAAAGAGCCTCTAACCAAGGGACAGTGGTGACATGGAAAACTTGACACAGAGGACGAAATGAAAATAACCAAAAATAGACAGAGCAATGACCTTTTCTTTTAATAACAGACACAGATAGGCATTAGAGGCATTAGAGTTCCAGTGCATTCAGTTACTTTAATTAGTTTCCTCTCTTGCTCTAGGTGAAGGATGACACTTTTTCATCTGATCCCTCCCTGCCTATGCCTGCCCTCCTTGCTCTGTTTTTGTCACTTCACTCATGTCTTTGTTTTGTCTGAATGTTGCCATGTGCCCTAATGTGTCCTTTCCTCTTTTTGTTTTATTTTGTTAGAAACTGTGGAGTACTCACTTTTAACCCAGAAAAGGAGTTAGAACAAACTTGGAATCCAGAGACTCTAATTTATTAGTTTATTAGTAACTCTTTAGCTTATATTTTAGAAACTGTAGAGTACTCACTATTTAGACCAATATTAGATTATTTTTTAGATTATTATGCGGAGAGACTCCTATTATTGCAACCCAGAAAATGAATTACAACGAACTTAGAGTCCAGAAAAAAATCTTCCAGAACAGGAATACTTAGTTTTTATTATTACTTAGAAACTGTGGAGTACTCATTACTTTTAGAGCACAAACAAAATATGCCTTTATTTCTTACCATCTTCAACATAGAGCCTTTAAAACCACAAAATAAAATCTGAATATTTTTCTAGAAAACTCTGGTGCTGACCTTTAAGTTTAAGCTATGATGCTTCCCAAATATTAAATTCCTACATGTTTATAGGTTCTCAGCCATCCAGGACATGGGGGAATAAATAAATAAATAAAAGTTTAAAGTTATCATTTAAATAACACATGACTTGTATTGAGAATCACTGCAATAAATCAATATTTTTGAGGAATTTTATTAAGTGGAGTTACTTATTAAAATTTGTTTTTATATAGAGCCTTAATTTTTTGTAAAGATGTAACAGAGATTAGATCTGTGACACTAAACCAAACTCACATCTAAGCAACATTTGAATCTTAGTTTGACTTCTATGAGTCTCAACAGGTTGTTTACTGAGGAAAAACACTGGTTATTCATTACTACTTACTAGACATTTTTGATGGTTCAGCTTGAACACACACAAACAAAAATTAAACCACATTTTACAATAACTTTGCCGACCTCCCCAAAATTGCTCTTAAAAAATGTCCCTGTTTATCAAACTCACCTAAATGCACTGAAATCTGATGACATTCAGTTATTTAGACCAGGAAGCATCAAACCTAATGTTTTTTTTCATGATTTTAATTTTTTTTTTGTTTGAACGTAAAAACTGAACTGCATTTATCATCAGACAATAACATAAACAAAATAAAGAAAATAAAAATAAAAAGATGTGAAAACTTCACTCTAATGTAAATAGGACTCTTCCTCAGTTTTTGTCTCATAAACATGTAACACATCAGTCTGTGTACCGGAGTGCATGAAATGAATCTTTGGGGTCATTTCATTCTCACTAAAAAAAAAGAAAACAGGGTTGGATCAGCAGATTAACTCCAAACAGGTTTGATTATTTTAAGGTGATCAATGTATGTAGACAATCACACATACATAAGTAGCTGCATAAAGGTGAGCCATGTAAATGAGGAGCGCTTTGTGGAGAACATCCCCAGTGGAAGGATTCAGAGGGAGCGACTGATCAGAGATCATATTGATCTGCTGGGAAATGATGATGGTTTATTAGCATTTAGATTAATCCAGACTGATCATCCTGGAGCTCCGAGCAGAACTTAAAGAAGGAGCCGTGTGGTACCGGAACCGGTCCAGCTGCAGTCATCCTTCAGTGGAGCCACTCGCTTTGTGTAAATGCGCCTTTATGGACGGAAAGGATCTCTATTCTGTAAATGTACAACTTCTGCAGATGATTCCACTATTGAGAATAAACGTCCACATTCC